ATCAAAAAAATTATTTATAGAAAAATAAATCTAGCTAGCCAACTAAAGTTAAAGCATAAAATACTTTTATTGCTTACGATCGTCCAACTGTTTTGTGCTCATTGGTATTCCATCAGCAGATATGTACAATAGAAGAGCACCATTAACTGGCAGGTCCTTAAATCCGGATGCAAGATAGGAATTAAAAAGAGAGAAGGTGGGTTTGTATAACAGGTATTTATGAGGATTATTGAGTTTGACAGGCGAGCCATCCTGGATGATATTAGAGAGTGGATGATCTAAAGGAGTTCCAATAACACATTTGGCGCCTCCATTTTCAAGAACATTGGCGTTATCTTGCTTTGCAGCACCCGGGAGATTATTCAGCGCACTAACAACACTGTCTTGGGGATCCCTTTCCAGGGTCTGGAGCATTCGAAACATGTCCAGAGTCAGCTCGCTAAATCTTGTTTGTTCGTAACAATTTCCAACGATGATTATTTCAGATAAATGCAGATCAGAAGACATGGCTTTTTCAATACTTGGACAACTACCCATATTCATGCGATGAGTTACTACTATGGGCATATTGTCTGAATCCAGGACCGGACAAATAGAATCAGCCTCAATAAAATCTCTGATTTCTTGAACTACCATAGTCCATTCTAAATGATCTTCTGGGTCGTAAACGGCAGTATAATCGTCAATTTGTTTAGCAAATTCCTTAAGAAATAAGATTGTCAGAGCTTACCCGAACAAGATCTCTGGCATGCTTCATTTTTTTAAGAAGCAAGCACACTACAATAAATCTAGCATAATAACGTAATTTTTTGACCATCAAATCTGGTCTATCTTCTTTAGTGGCACGAGAATAATAATCACGGTTCCGAATAGCATCAAAAAAAGAAAATGATTCATTGAGGTAATATGTTTCACTTGTGCGAAGACTAAATGGAAATAAAATGTAAACTATTTGAGTACTAGTAGTGGTAATAAAGTTGGCCAATTTTAGATGCGATTTCTCCAATCTGCCAGCGCTTTAATCCGTACACTTCATCCAGTATTTGACGATGGGTCTGCTGGTATTTCCAAAGCTTCGTGTACACATCAAATGTTCTGGAAAAATACGCTTGCCATTGTTTATGCCCGTACTGTGGGAGATCTCTAAAAAAATTTAAAGGGACGTGCATGCGGAAAACCAACAAAAATTAATAGGAAAGCATGTAATATTTATTAAACAAAAGTACCTTAAGCCATTAAAAAGTTGCTTGGATTTTTCGAGAAGATGACAAAAGTCACTAACGACCGTGCGTTCATGGAGGTCAACCGGAGGTTCGAATGCCATTAGCGTTAAATCGCCGAAGAGACGAAGCCAGCGGGCTGGCAACTCAAAAGTAATGTAACTAGCCTAGTTAAAATATGTTTGAAGCCTAATAAAAAAGCAAACAAAGTAGAAAAAAAA